AGATCCTTTTAAATTAATTTAAAAATATCCAAGCGGTTAAATTAGATTTGCGATATACGATAAACTTTATACCATAATTTGTATTTATAACTTAAACAATTAAAAATGAAAGAACATAATTTTATCTAGATTATTAGCCAAATCTAAACAGAAGGATCTTTAACATCAGCTTGTGCAGAATTAGCGGAATTTTTGTCATTTTTTTTTTTACCTCCTTTGAATTTTGAATATGTAATATGTTCCAATAAGTTTACTAAAAATACTTAAACAGGACGATACAAGTGTCAATAAAGGTATAATATCGTAATGGTTCGCTATTTGAGTATATATAATCTATTGAATTTTTTTTTATTTAAAAATAATTAAATTAAAATAAATAAATAAAAAAATAAAAAAAGTAAATTTTATGATGTATAAACATACCTGAATAACCAATTGAGGTATATCTTCAAGAATGATGTTAATGAAAGAATATCGAGCTATTCTATGTTCTGTTTCTTTAGAAAACCAGCATTAAACTTATCAAATCCAAACATCATTATCTTTGAATCAAGTACAGTTAAAATTTCAATATCGGTTCCTGCCAAGATCGTGAATATATTTACAATTTTACTATTTTCATTTAACCAAGCTCTAAATTTTTCTGCTTGTTCATCATTATTTCTTAGTTCTTTGTCAATAATTCTAAATGCCAATATTAAACTTACGAAAAATGAAACTAGCAAAATTACAAGACTAGAAGAAATAAATTACGACCGTAAATACTTTTATTTTTATTATAATATTAATATTTAATGCAATTTTAGTGCAGAAATCGGTTACCTTGGAATAAATAAGTCTACGTTTTTGGCTTTTGTAAAAATAAAAACCCAATCAAAAATAATATCGCTAATAGCAATAGCAAATTGAAAAATTGCGGTATTTCTTGCCTAAATAATAATAACAAGTGAATATGTCATTATTTTTTTTTTTTAAAAAAAAATAATATTAATGCTATTTACATCTTTTCTTTGACTTTTGGCGACTAAGAAAAGTATAACCAATAGTGATAAGGCTGCTAATGCTCCAAGAAGACCTGGTGTAAAATGCGTAGCTATTATAAGTTTATAAGTAAACTAATTAGTATTTATTTGGAGAATTTTATCTTGAAACACACTCCCAAATGATAATTAAGAACAAATTTTTACGAAGTGTTTTATATCCATAAGTCTCATCTAAATATTTTGAAGCTTCACCGGATCTAATAACTGTGGTATGTTTATTCCCAATCAATTCGTCTAAATCTTTATATGCCAATTTAACAGTCCTTTGTTTTCTAGATTCATCTTTTTCGATGCCAATAGGCAAAAGGATTTGTCTTTGAGAAGCAGAAGCGTTAGTTTCAAACCTTTCATTGGTAGTTACACGGTCACGACTGACGGGAATTGCATCAGCCAATTCTTGACTTAAGTTCTTAGAGAAATCATAGCGTTGGCTCTTGTTTAAACTTTCAAAATGTAAGGTCCCGTTTGCAGTCAATCGAACTTGTCCACTAACGCTCTCTGAATACTCCTCTTTTACCGGAACTATTTTAAATTATACATAAAAATATTAATGTAACTCATTTTCACTTAAACTAGAAAAATTAGAACTTACGTGTTGTAAACGTCCAAACATGATCTTTTACACCATAGAGAGGTTCTTGGTAAATTCAGCTCTTTACAAAATTATTTTCAATTGATACATAGTATCTACTACCAGGTTGATTCAATGTGCAATCCAATAATTTGATATTAACCGTAGTTTTATTTCCATCTACATAGGTTACTAATTCGCTGTTGGTTCCAGGAATTGCTTGACGCATTGTTCCATCTTCTTGAAAAATTTTAATGTGACCAACCGAAAATTCAACTTCGTTATAATATTTAATTGTAAGTGAGTTTGTATCGTGGGCATTTACTTTATCATCAATAATCGGAGATGTAGAGTTGATGTGGAAATTTTCATAACTATGATCTAGAATATTAATTATTTTGAAAAGATTAAATTTTTAATTTTTAATTGAATTTTTTTTTGTTAGCATTTATCGCTTACCTTTTTCTTTCTCAAATTTATACAATTCGGTGGTGATCATTCTCCAATATGGTTTCTCCGACGGCTGAGCAATTACAATAGTATTATTTCTCAAAACTTTCGATCTACCAAGAGGGTTTATCTCGGTAGGAACTGGAAGGTCCCAAACATATAATATATCATCGTCATTAAAAATATAACCTTCGATGAAAGATTTACCACTATCATCGGTTCTAACTCCTTTTAATAAATAACCTCCATATGGTAATGCTTCGATATTATATTGTTCAATTAATGGATTCGTTTGAATACTATTCAATGGCAAAACGTTTATTACGGTTCCACATGAAAGTAAATCAATCTTAAGATAAAATGTATTCGCAGTAGTTCGATTTGTAAAATTTCCAGTTACTATACAAGTTTGTCCAATTCCAACGTAAGTAACACTGCAATCAATGTTAATAAATTTAATTCCTTGAATTTGAGTTTGAAAAAGAATGACTGGATTTCGTTTAGTTGCAAGGCCATTTTCTAGGATTATCATGTAGACTCTTGCTTGTGCAGTCAAAGGTTTATCAATTGTGGCTGCAGAATTCGTAGAATTTGTATAAATAACCGCGTATTTGCCGTCCAACATTGGAATGACAGTACTTGGAGGATTTTCTTGACTACGATTATCTTGTAAATATATGATATCTTGCGTAAGCCTTTTTATTTCTCCCGCTTCGTTCCTTTATAAAAATAACAATAAATAAATGTAAATTCCTTATCATAAATTAAATTTAAAATTTATAAATTACACTTCGAATTGCTGCCAGATTGTCCCAGTAGAATTTGTTATAGGTATGATACGTAAAAATCCCTTGTCGGGATCAGAGTTCACAAAAATCTTAGCTCGGTAAGGGTACCATTTATTAGTGCTCACATCAACAAAGCCCGAACCAAATGGAAACTTTCTATACGAAAGAAGAAAGAAAATTAATATTGTCTTTTACACAACTCAAAAGTTTAATATAATTCGATTTTTCAAACCTGTAAATAGTTCCATTTAAATCAACAATCATTGCCCATTCAATATAACTAAAAGGATCCAATACGTTCGTGGCGCTCACATAAGTTACTAACAAAAAATTACTTCTTATAGGATAAATTCTAATGGAGCTTGAAGTACCGTCTACATCGTTGTTCGTAATAAAAAAGTTGAAGTCTTGTATATATAATTTAATATCTACCGATACAACGCTCCCATTTGGATAAATCGTGCGAAATGACAAATATTTATCTACCCAAAATCCATTTTCAGTTGGAGGAAATAATGGACGAATTATATGAACAACTATCGTGTTATCGAAATTAACAATATCAAATATGACAGGTATACCTGTCACTGGCGTTCACAGTTGGTATATCTACATATGTAAAATAATTTTTATTTTGTGATTTAGCCAATGAAATGATTGATAAAATTGAACATACGAAAATAAAATTATAAAATCTCATCTTGGAATAATTTCGAAATTTGAAAATTATTTGAATCGAATCAAATGAATAATAAAAAAAAATTTAAAAAACAATAAACGAAGGATTTAAATCATTTTTGTTCAATCAGAATCCTGCTCATCGTTAACGTTAACATTTATAGTAAAAACTTGAATCCATATTTTGAAGCCTCGCCCGGCCCTGACTTATAATAAATTTTTATGCCAGCCTGACCCGGCCCAGACCTAAAATAAAATAATTAAAATTGCTGAATAAATCGGCACGTAATTTAATAATTCAATTTTTGTATATGTTGAATTCAATTGTTTGCGTATCAAAATTTCTTCCGAATATAAAAAGATAACAAGGTTTGTAAATTCTAGTAATAAGGCATTTTCAATGTGCTTAGTTCATTACGACAACCTACATCTAAGATCCGGTTCGATACCTGCATTCATATAGGAATCTCACCGGCAAAGGTTTAACCAAATTAAAGCATTAAGCCCTGTACATTTTTGACACGCCATTTCCGTTAATGTATACGGGCGCGGTTTTCAAATGTTTTATCTAAGGAATCCGGATGGCGGCATCAAAGCACTAAGTCGGGATATAGTCGTAGCTACTAGATTTAGGTCAAAAAAAAGTCGTGTTAATTTTGTGTAATCGGTCAAAGACCAATTTAGCAACTTCAATTAAGAATAAATATTATTGTGCAATGTGCTACGAATATAACTCCGGATTGCTTAATATTAATAATAGCCTAACAAAAAATGTCTGCGACTCTTGTTTAATCATGTGACACAGGTTACCGGAATAGCTCTTCCCTGGTTAAAGTCGGGGAAGGCTTATGAAATAAATAAACAAATAAATAAATTAGGTTTGCAAATGCGGTAATAACTAGCAACCAATCATCCTGAATTATTTTTTAGATTCAGTCCTTTTTTAAAAAGAATATAACCTATCCGTAGTTTTTCTTAATACCACATAACGAAGGATGAAAATCTCGCCGAGTGGAGAAGATCTTGCTTACAGTGAAGTAGTTGTGAGTGGAATGTTGAAATTATTGAAATATTATTATATTAATTGATTGGTGTGTGATAAAATAAAACTAGCGTATATTGAGAAGTATAAATTAATTAAATGATTATTTTGTACAACCCTTCCGTTGTGGAACGGGCTGATGTCCCGTGCGGTGCAGAGGCTGCACCTTTTTTCCCACAAATAATCATTATTACTACTGTATTATTTTGAATCTATTAGATATGAGCTTCATTGCCGATTTTTTTTATTATCAAAAAAAAATAATTGTTTTCATTATATACTTGTTTGCTGGGCGAAAGCCACAAAAAGAATAAATCTTGGAATACATACTTTTTAATTTAATATTGATCAAAAAGTTATTGAAAAAGTACTTCCAAAACGTTCTTCTTCATCAAAATTCGATTCACAAAAAAAAACTAAATAATAATATGGCAAATTTGCAATTTACAATTTTTGTTGTTCTCTTCATCTTCGTTGCAGCAATATCCATTAAAGCTGAAACAGTAGACCGAACCGACTCGAGTCCAAATAATTCTAAAAGAAATGTATTGAATAAAAGAAACGAAGACAAAGTATGCCAATGTACGATCGCCGAAGCGATTTTCGATTCTTCATTTAAGGGTTTATTCTTCTTTTCACAAGACGAATGTGGTAGCACGACCATTGCAGGAATGTTCAGCCGTGGATTTGAGACTTTAAATACCAAAGATATTATATTTGAAATCGTTGATAATAGCAATCGCACACTTCATGATCTCACGGTGTTGGCTTGGTATCTGTAAACTTAAACGATAAACTTTAATTCAATCCGTCGAATTAAATACAAGACAATATCACAATCACGCCTATATGAAGACACGACAAAAGGTAATAGTAAATGAATTTAACGATTCCTTTATTGAACTCTTGGTTTATCCTAAAACCTCAACTTGAGTTACTTTTCAACTCAAGAGAAAATACAAGATATTTATATAAAATGAAATAATATAAAATCAACTATAACAAATATAATAAAAAGAATAAATAATACAACTATAATAAATATAATAGTAAATATAATAACTATAGTTCATTTATCTAATTTGTCTACTTGATCAACTTCGTCAACTATGTCGATCATTTAGATCACATGATCTATTTTGGCACAGTTACGGTTCACGGCTTCAACGGATAGATTGAATGTTCAATTTTGTGATGATGGTAGTACCAAGCCCTTTACACACACATTTCCCGCAATCAATTTGGATTGTAATAAAGATGGTATCTTTATCCCGGAAGCCGGTAAATATAGCAAACGTGCCGCCAATAAACCACCTGCGACAGCAATTAAAAATGGTAAAAACAGAAATGACAAGCCATTGGATAAAGCGCAAATTAACAAACTTTATAAATAAAGGTTCTTCCACCACATGATCAAAAGGATAAATTTATTAATTTCAAATCTATTTATAAATGATTTAATGGTTAAATTTATTTTAGTTATTTTTTTTTTTTTTTTTTTTTTGTATTCTACACCTTAAAATTTCTTTTATTTTAGTAGTTTAGAATCAATAAATCGAATAATATCAGATCTTAACAAAAGAAAAGGTTATAAATAAGTTCATGAGAATGAAAGAAAAAGCGATGAATTTGTATTAGGTCAAAAAAAAAAAGTAAATAAAAAAACATCCTTTACGTTCTGTTCATTGTGTTCATTGAAGTTCACAGCTTTTTTTTTTTAAAAAAAAAATTTGAATATTTTATTAATCCCTTTTACTCTAAAATTAATTGTTTACACTTCATTTAAAAGGATTTAATTCAATCATAACTTAAAAAATCTTAAAGCTATTTATTGCATTTTTTTTTTTAAAATATTTTTTCAAAACGTTTAAAATTTTTATGCACAAATAGGGAGAGCTCATTGTGTGAAAAAGTTATCACTTTTTTATACAGACTAAAGCTAAAAATATCTTGTAAAATAAATGCTACAGAATAGAGCTGATTCAATAAATATAAATTAATTGATGATTGGTCTCAGCCGTCAAATGAGTGTTTGAAATTAACAAATGTGAAAAATATATAAAGCATCTTTTAACCGGAAATAAATTTGCTTCAATTAAATAATCTATTTAGTTTGGAAAAAATTAAAGTCCCATTCGGTTAATAATTTGAAACATTTATTTTAATTGAGAATTTCGCAAGCAATTAAAAAAAAAAATTGAAGTGGATAACCAAAAATGTGAAGTTGGTCACATTATAATTGAGAATATTTTCAAATTTACTAAATCCTTCCAAGGTAAAAAAGAAACAATAAAGGTTATAGGAGCAACTAAGCGCAAATTTTTAGTATTTTATTTATAATAAATCAGAAAAGCGCGGAGATGCAATATTAAAACAATCGATTAATAGCAACATTTTCGATTTTCTGAAGACAGATCCGTGCTAATAAATGAACTTTATCAAAGTATAAAAATGCTGCAACAAAACGTATTTACGCAATGTATTTGACAATGGATTATTATTTTTCATCCTCGAACAATTCACTAGGAATTTCTATTATTTTCATGAGATTTATTATCTTTAAATCTATAAACAATCATAGCGATAGACGATGTGTTAATAAAGTTATATCATGGTAATTTTAACTGTTTAAATAAGTTAGTTCAACTCCTATATAATCAGCATCACAGTTAATAATACAAATCCTTGAAGTTTTGAAAAGAAGAACTGGTTTTCGTTATATGACCTGTTAAGTTGGGTATACTGTCGTCAGCGTACACAATATGTATATTATGCTTTTATTGATAATACATACACGACAACAACGGGACACGAACGAGATAATAATTATAAAATTACAAAAATATTTTTTATTTTTAAATGACTGACATCTTGGAAAATTTACGAAACTTTGATTATTTGATTATTTTAGTCTTCGATTATTCACAATCAAATAATAAATCTTTGAATAAAAAAAAAAGTTTCATTTAAAATAAGGTTTTTATAGAATATTTTTTCAAAATGCCGCTTGTCAGAAAAAGGGAAATCTAAACTTTTAATTAAAAAAATTTTTTTTTATAAACTTAAGATTTATTCTTATATCTCAATTTTAATCATTCATTTGGGTGCGATTTTAATTCTGACCGGAATTACATAATTTCATTAAAACTTCACACTATCGGTATCATTTGTTTTTTTTTTTTTTGATTTTTATTGATGTATAAACATAAATTGCAAAAATAAACTTTATAATTATTATATCTGTTAAAACGGTATTATTATAACTGGTTCCTTCGGTCTAGCCGAACTGTGAGAATGATATCAGAATGGTTTTGTTCACAAGAGGTAAATAATAATTTCAGTCATATTATCAAAAAGAAATTCAAGGATAAAAATAGAGTTCTGTGACGTTTCACAATAGAATTAATTTATGAATTTTTTTTATTTTATTTTTTTTTTTTATTCAACATTTTCTAAACTGACATATTTGATTGATTCCTTTCTAAACTTATATTTATTCCACGCTTTAATCAAGTATAATTATACTAAGTTGTAAATGTTTATCTAAACAACATTATTCCTTAGGCCAACTATATTTCTGTATTATCCGATATTGTTTTGGCATAATTTTGTCTTATTCCGTCGCACAAAATAATTTATTTTAAAAATTGCATTTGCCCTTAATTGATAGCTTAAAATCGAGGTTCATATACATTTAGTTCCGAGGAAAACCTAAGGTCAAAATCCTCTAAAACAAAGGACTTTAAATCATTATCTTTCAAATTCATGTAAAAAAAAAAAAATATTACTTGCATTCTATTATTTTTTTTTCATTTATTGAATCAGTTTAGACTTTTATTTTTATCATTTATTTTACACACGTTCTTCCTTTTGTTAAAAAGACGCGAAATTTAAACTTGACAAAAAAATTTAGTACTTGTCGTACAAATAGTTCTGAATCAAGCTGATAACATAGATAGTAGAGAAACAAGAAATAACTATTACGGCACGATTTTCTAATAAAATAGATTCGAAATTATGGATGCACTATAGATATAATAAATTAAGATCTAATAATGAATTTTAATTTAGAATTCCTTAAATAAGCGTATAACTTGCTTGGGGTCCGGTTCATTTCACCGACAAACGTTTCACCGCCAGTATCATTTCATCGACAAGATCATTTCGTCGACAGTTTATTTATTTATTTTTTTTTATTAAATTTTACATTATAAATGAATCATTAATATAAGAATAAAATAAAATAAAACTTCACATTTTAAAAGTTTATAATAAAAAAAAAAGAATTTTCTAATTAAACGGTCACATGTTATTTATAGTCATTTTACATATTTTATCAATGTTACATATTAATTTAGATGGGCAATTAATAAATAAATAAAA